AGAAATGGGATAGTGGACGAGGAGAAATGGGGTAGTGGACGAGGAGAAATGGGGTAGTGGACGAGGAGAAATGGGGTAGTGGACGAGGAGAAATGGGGTGGTGAACGAGGAGAAATGGGGTAGTGCAAGAGGAGAAATGAGCAAACATGGGAATTTTTAAAAATGTCTTTAAAAATTTACGAAAATCCTCCCCCATATCCTTAATGTACCCACAGGCAGGGCCATTTCAAGGAATTTGGGGTCCCCAAGCAAAATTCACTTGAAGGCTTAGGCCTCTCCAGGCGTATTCTGATAATGGTGTCATTGTACTTTTCTGCCGTGGCAATCACTAAATTTAAATGTCTGCTCACCATTGTATCTGACCACACACGCACACGCACACGCACACACACACACACACACACACACACACACTATATACTCTCAGAGTTTTAAGGTGCTTGTTGGACAGCAGGGCTGTTTACAAATCTGTGAGTTTAATTGTTCTGGAAGCCTAAACTGCTAAATAATTGGGGCCTTATCGTCTTCTTCCTGTGGGATTATTTATTTATGCACCTGTAGCTCTTTGATGTGCTGAATAAGATCATTGCTAACCTTTTTTTAAAGGACACTGAAGTTCTTATAAAGATATTTTTCCAAATCTAACCCTTAGATGTATTAATATTTATTTTAAAACTGATTTGATAGGAATATATAAATGTAGCCTTCAAAAGTATCTAGATCAAAGGCCAGAGCTGTTCAATTCTGTTTAATCAATAAAACCAGCTGGCACATCAAGCATCCAGAAGAATGAGATGCTATAAGCGCCTAAACGAAATAAATAATGATGAATATATTTCCTTTTCATCTTTATTAATACTATATTTAATGTGGCATGGAAAAAACTGGGCTCCGTTTCTCCGTATTGTGTAATGAAACTCAGTGGGGATGACAGTTGTTTCTCATATTTTCATTGTTGGTTTCAGGTTGTAAAACAAATGATGCACAGATTCAAATTCATGTTGGATTTTATTTTATGCACTACATAGATTTTATTGCGCCGAGAACATCCAGCAATGCACAGCTTTGAGGGAACATTGGTGCTCACACTGCTGGTCCATAGATGCAGATAATAACCAGGTCAGCCATTTTCTGGGGGCCCCAGGCAGCTTGTGGCCCTAAGTAATTGCTAGGCTTGCTTGCCTTCCTGCAACAGGCCTGCCCCCCAGACTCAGGGAAAAAAAGGTATTTATTAGCTCGTCTACGTCAATGCTGTCCAAGAAAATCACAGTTCAGAACGGAGCTCTTTTTCACCTCACACGACTTTTTCTACAAAAGACATGCACCCAATCCTGGTTTATTTATACTCTAACATGGTTGTATATGCATGTGTGCATGGCAAAGGGCTCATGGCCTGTGTGGAAACTTTAGTGTGTGTGTGGTTCATGGCTCAGGCTACTTTCATTGTTTGGGTGATAGCCTCAAGCACACTTTCTGTGCTGAGATTGGTTCTAGAGAGGAGAGATGTTCCTGCATAGAGTCTGGATGCAATTATACAACCAAGCTGAAAAGCTTCCCAATACACACACATAAGTGGACCTTGGAAGAAAAAACAGTTCCCCTCACACCTGCTTTCCATCCAGCTGCCATTGTTCAGTGTGTGGAAGCGTTTCCCGTCTAATCATTCAACCCTCTGTGTTCTCTGCATATCAGCAAGTAAAGAAAAACGTGTTTATTTTACTGACCCACCGTGTTTCCAAGGACTCAAATAATATCTTTTCAACAGTCAGAGGAACATCAGTTGCTTTTAGGTGGTCTGTTAGCCTTTAGCTTCAACATGCTGCTCTGTCATTTTCTGTCTAATTTCTAGAAACAACTCTTTGCGTCTTCTGGTCCATGTTGAGTGTGGTACACGCCATGTCACCATTTAACGTGTCCCTTTGGATGCAATATTTTCAGTCTTTAAATATGTGACAATTTTTGTTGAGGCCTGTTTAATGAGATTTTTTTTTATCATTCTGTTGAAGCATAGTTTAATTTTTATAGAATTTTATTTATTAATGCTTTTTTTTTTTTTATTTCTGAGGCCATAGTTATTTTTTCCTTTTTATTATAGCAACAATTCTGTCCGTGTGTGAATATATTTAAATGTGTTTTTGTGTTTTATCAATTAATGCACTTATTAACGATGCCTATCATTGCTGTATCTCACAGAGAAGGCAGCTATTGTGCAGGCGATGGAGGACCTTTGGCCTGGTGTCTACAAACTGATGTTTGTGGTGGAAGACCAACAGGGAAAGTCTTGCCCACAGTCACAAAAACTGAAAGTCCGTGTCTGTGTCTGTAAGGATGGGGATGTCTGCATGAAACAAACTGCACCTCCTGCGAAGTTAGGAGATGCAGGCATTTGCCCTCTTTTTCTGGGACTGCTACTTCTACTTTGTGAGTACCACTGAGTTCTACTTACAGTTGTGCTTGAAAGTATTCAGACCCCTCTATTACAGAAAAAAAAGTTGCCAGTAGAATAAATGAAAAAATATAAAAATCGATATACACTATATTGCCAAAAGTATTTGCTCACCCATCCAAATTATTGGAATCAGGTGTTCCAATCACTTCCATGGCCACAGGTGTATAAAT